GACAGAAAAAGACCTACATTTATATCATATTCATGTTTTTATTTTAGTTTTATTCAGAAATTTTATTTATATTATTTATTAATTTTATTCTTATTATTATTTGCTTTTATTTTATATTAAATTATCATACTACGGATATTATTTTAATGTAAATTCTATCCTTTGCACTCTTATTTATTTAAATTTATGTTATTATTGCTAGATGTTAATTATTTAACAGTTGTAATAAATATTGAAATTAAAAAAAATCATATTTTACGAGAAATTATGATGTACATATTGAATAGTTAATAGCAACTGTACTTATAATAACTATTCTTAACAAGAAAATTAATACATAAATATTTTTTTCAAATACAACTACCCTAAAAACTTGCATAAATAACATACATAATAAGAAAAATATTTCCCCCATATGAAATGATTTTGAATAATACTAAAGAAAATCAAAATTGGAGCTGGTTTTGAGGACTATTTATTCGGTTATTGTTAAAAAATTTTCTTCATCCTCCAAATCTTGCATAAATAACATACATAATAAGAAAAATATTTTTCCCATATGAAATGATTTTGAATAATACTAAAAAAAATCAAAATTGGAGTTGGTTTTGAGGACTATTTATTCGGTTATTGTTAAAAATTCTTCTTCATCCTCCAAATCTTGCATAAATAACATACATAATAAGAAAAATATTTTTCCCATATGAAATGATTTTGAATAATACTAAAAAAAATCAAAATTGGAGCTGGTTTTGAGGACTATTTATTCGGTTATTGTTAAAAATTCTTATTCATCCTCCAAATCTTGCATAAATAACATACATAATAAGAAAAATATTTTTCCCATATGAAATGATTTTGAATAATACTAAAAGAAATCAAAATTGGAGCTGGTTTTGAGGACTATTTATTCGGCTATTGTTAAAAAGTCTTCTTCATTCTCCAAATCTTGCATAAATAACATACATAATAAGAAAAATATTTTTCCCATATGAAATGATTTTGAATAATACTAAAAAAATCAAAATTGGAGCTGGTTCTGAGGACTATTTATTCGGTTTGTTAAAAATTCTTCTCTATCCTCCAAATCTTGCATGTACCAAGTTGCCTGCATTTATGGCCTATACATATTAGGTTGTCAAATATCTCCCTTCCGCCTTTTTGCTCTTGGTTTATAATACAAAAAGGCGGAAGGGAGATATTTGACAACCTATTATTTATTAACCATGTTAAAATTTCATTCCCTCCTCCCAGATCGATCCATTATAAATTATCCATCATCTGATCATTCATATAGAATCTATTTCCCTCAGATCATATATTTTTATTATATAGTGACAAATAAAATGCTTCCTGATATATCCTTTTTAGTCCCCCATGACATTTGATTTGGATGCACACTTTTGTATATAAACACACGTACGATTGTAAATTTTTATCGCTAGTAGAGGCTTTTTGAGGTATTAAGTGAGATGGACTTGAATGGTTAAGTAAGGAGAATCGTTGATTTACTCGTCTGGGATAAAAAATAGGGTGGTCCTTAATATTTCTTTGTTCCCAGAGTCTCAAATGCTTCCAAAAAGATGAAAAACAATTGTCTGAAAGTTTTAAGTCTTAATATTAACTTTTACATATTCCGCAATTCTACCAAAGATTCGTATGAAAAAAACATGGGTAAAATTCTATTTGTTTTTATATATATATATATTAGGGTGGTCCTTAAAATGGTCATTTTTGAATTTCCTTGCTCCCAGGGGATCAAATGGTTCGTTTCAAATTGATAAAAAACAATTCTCTGAAAGTTTTAGCTCTTAATATTAACGTTTAGATAGAGCGCAATTCAATCAAGGTTTGTATGGAAAGAGCATGGAATTTTTTTTTGAAATATTAAAAATATTTTGGTATAACTTAGCGACAAATAAATTAAAAGTGAAAATTCGTGTCATTTTTTATTGAATTCGACGCTCTGCAAAATTTTTGAAAATTTTTTCATGCTATTTCCATACAAAACTTTGATTGAATTGCGCTTTATCTAAAAGACAATAATAAGAGCTAAAACATTCAGAAAATTGCTTTTTATCAATTTAGAACCATTTGAGTTCTTGGGAGCAAGGAAATTCGAAAATGTCCATATTAAGGACCATATATATATATAAATCGTCTGCATATAGAAAATAATGTCGACTTGCTGAATCTTGTTTTATTCAACTTCATTTTTCTATTGTGTAAAAGTAGACCATAGACTTTCTGACGGCTTAAAAAAACAAAATTTAATTTACGTTTGCAAATTTCACGGTTCTTTCGACATGTATCCTTCTATACTCAAATATTAACCCTTTCTACTCGCGAATTCCGAGATTTATATGAATTTTGCCGCCGCAGCGGCGGTATCCGAGTAGAAAGGGTTGAGGAGCAAATTTTCGGATAAAATATAAATGTTTAAAATCGTATGAGTTAAGGGGCGTCCATTTAACACGTGATGGAATTTTTAAGGGTTTTTTGGGACCCCACCTCTTCCTTGCTGATATTTAAAATTATCCCTCCTCCTTCCCCAGCAAATATGACGTGTATTTTTGGTTACAGCAAAAATTGCAAACAATTTTTATTTTTTTTTGAGAATGTTTTGATTTTGATTCACATATTTCGTGATTTTTTTGGCAAACTTTCTCCACCCTTTCCCCAAAAACCTCACGTGATTAATGGACGCCTCCTTAGTACTAACCAATTGTCAAAAAGCTATGTATTTGCTATGCGATCAGGCGTTCTACACATAAAAACTAACCTCCAAAAGGCGCAAACGCTAGATAACAATTTTATCATGAGCGCAACAGGTAATGTTAGGTGAAACACCTAATGGTTCTGCATATAAAAAATAATAACGACTTGCTGAATCTTGTTTCATTCAACTTCATTTTTCTGGTGTGTAAAAGTAGTCTATATACTTTTTGACAGTTTGTTACTACCAACTCATACGAAGATAGACCCGTAACATGAAAATATCATTACGATAACATTTTTATTTAGATTTACCAAATGAGTTCACAGCCTGAGCATTTTATCTGGTGGTCCTTAATATTGATTTATCGAATTTTTTCCCAAGGGCTCAAATGTTTCCAAAATGATAAAAAAAAACAATTTCTGAAAGTTTTAGCTTTTAATATTAATTTTAAGATAGCCCTCAATTCAATCAAAGTTTGTTACGGAAATAACATGGGTAAAATTTCATTTGTTTTTTAGATTTTTATGACTGAACGACAAGTGAATCAAAATTTTGAGATTTTACATTGTATTTGCTTATTTTGATCGCAAATACAAGAATTTACTACACAATTTAATATATTTTATAAAATAAGTATTTACTTGGGAAGAACTAAGAAATTTTGGTGGTTGGAATGCGGACTATCTTAAAGTTAATATTAAGACTTAAAACTTTCAGAGATTGTTTTTTTTGTTAACTTGGAAGTATTTGACCTATATATATATATATATATATATATATATATATATATATATATTAGGTTGTCAAATATCCCCCTTCCGCTTTTTTGCTGTTGGTTTATAATACAAAAAGGCGGAAGGGAGATATTTGACAACCTAATATATATATTTGTAATATTTTTGCAGCCCAAGCGTCGAATTAAAAAAAGATTAAATAACAAAATTATTTATTCCATCAAACGTTTCGACACTTGATGTGTGTCATCATTCAATAATCTAAACAAACATATAAATACAAAGTTGATGATAAATATAAATATATAAAAAGGAGGAAATTATACTTACCAAACCAGGAAAAACAACAGAAAAAATTAATGATGTAAAATTGATTGAACACTAAATTTGTGTAAAATAATATTATACTAGTATATTACCAAACGAGAAATTGAAGGAGCTCATGATGCCCTTCTATATTTTATTATTAATAGCGGTGCATTATGGACACTGATCAAGGTTACAACGCAAGTGTTTTTGATTTAAGAGAAGAAAAAAGGCAACTGAAAGTGTTGTCAAAACTGAAAACCAAAAGAAAATCTTCAGCGGCAAATAACTTTTTTAAAAAATAAGAAAAATTGCTTAAGAAAGGTAACAAATAACACCTTTATATTTATCTAAAGAGGAAGAATTAGATTTTGAAAAAGAATTGTTAAGATAGGAAGAACTGTTTAAATTGTTTTGTAAAAACTCTAATCAATTTTTAATGACGTTATTAACTAAATATGAAGGATAAGAATTATTATTCAAAACAGAACGAACTAAAGATAGGTTTTTTTCCAAAAAAATCTTATCACTTAACAAAATGGCCCTATCTATTAAGAAAATGGCAACTGAAATTTTGATAGAACGAGAGTGATAGGAAAAATAATTTGAGAAGGTAACATTTGAGCCCCTGGGAGCAAAGAAATTTGAAAATATGGCATGCGGACTATCTAAAAGTTAATATTAAGAGCTAAAACTTTCAGAGAATTTTGTTATGTCAATTTGGAAGCATTTGAGCCCCTGGGAGCAAAGAAATTCGAAAATATAGAGTGCGGACTATCTAGAAGTTAATATTAGGAGCTAAAACTTTCAGAGAATTTTGTTATATCAATTTGAAAGCATTTGAGCCCCTGGGAGCAAAGAAATTCGGAAATATGGTGTGCGGACTATCTAAAAGTTAATATTAAGAACTATAACTTTCAGAGAATTTTGTTATATCAATTTGGAAGCATTTGAGCCCCTGGGAGCAAAGAAATTCGAATACATCCATATTAAGGACCACCCTAATAAACAAAGTGGTTTACTATTTTATGCTGAAACTGAACAAAGTTTCAGCTAAATCCCAAGACCAGTAAAGTAAATTTGTTACCCTTACCCCTTCAGTCCTTCTTGTAAATAAGAATTTGTAAGATATTTTTTATCCTAAAGGCATGTCAATATTTATGTCAATACACATAGAATATATATGTTATAAATCTATTACGATTAAAATAAAACAACAAAAACTAAAACACAATTTATTATTACTTATAAACCGGTATCGACATCAACTTCTTATAATACTCGATTTTTCTAGCAACGGACATGTCGATCAACCTGTCTCCGATCTTGATAATTAGGCCACCGATTATTGAAGGATCCACAACTAGTTCCATTTGCGGTTTGTCGCCGAATGCTAGGAATTTCTCTAAGGTTTCCTGTAAATTGGCTGTTTGTTCTTCGTCCAAATTAATTGCAGAGGTTACTCTGACCACTACTTCGCCTCTGACGGATTTCATGAGCTCGTCGAATTGGTTGACCATAAGTTTTAGGTGTTTTAGGCGATTGTTTTCGGCGACGATTTCTAAGAAGTTGGCTATTGTGTTTGTCATCCCGGCCTGGGTAAAAGATAAACTGGATTAAAAATTACGTGATGATGAGGAATATCTAGATCGAATTAGGAAATGTAATAAATATTTATTTATTTATTTATTTATTTAAATATATAGCCCACAGATTACTCCAAGAGGACTCAAAAAATACAGTTATTTTACATGATGAATAACAATTAAAATATATACAAAATTACAATATATAGTTATTCACATAAAATGCTTACATAAAATTACATGTAATGCAGAATGTAACAATATTATTTATAAACAGAATAAGATAAAATAATGAGATATTTGAAAAAAAAAAAAAATATTAATGTTTGGGGCTTTTCCACGAGGATGAAGCAAAATTTCGTGAAGTGGATGTGAAAAATAGGAAGGCGTAGAAATTGATTTTTAATTTCAGTCTAAAAATATTACTAGTGGTGTTTGACATCGTGCCTTAAGGCAAATTGCTGGAACTTCCCGTACCGTAACGAAATATTCGAGAAATTTTCAAGGTTTTCAAATATATCATTACAAATACTGTAACTTTCATTATTTTTACTATCTTATTGTTATATCTGAACAAATCAAATGTAAATCATAAATCAATTTATCTCCAGAACATTAACACCAATCGTCATTTCATTTCGAATTCAATTACAAAAAAAATAGTTGCACAAAATTGAAAAAGTGCTCCCGTATAGTCACAGTCTAAACGCATTTGCAAATAATTCTGTGCGACTTTTACACTTATACCGTGCTTAGCTTGGCGGTATTCTCACATTTTTCAATAGTTTTCCACAAAATTGGAAAAGTGCTCCAGTACATAAACAGTCTAAACGCACTTGGGTAAACATTTGCACCAAAGTGGCGCTTAGACTGTGCTTAGCCTGGGTAATTTTTTGAATTTTTAATCCAAAATTACAAAAATATTTTTTGAAAAAAAAAATTATAAACAAATTTTTTTTTCCAGAAACAATTATTTTGTTGAAACAAGCAGAAAGTTTTTTGAATCATTTAAATCGGATGCTTAGTTCTCTCAAAAACTGCCATTTTTATAACATTTAGCTCTGTATCTCCGGAACCGCTGGGCCTACCTTTGCCTTAAACTAATAACCTCTTTTTCCCGTCATTACGAACTGAATGTTTTTGGGATCATACAAATCGGATGATCCGTTCTCTCAAAAACTCGATTTGTATTTTTTTCTGCACTCTTTGCTCCGTATCTCCGTAACGGCTGGACCTGCCTGTGCCAAAAACTAATCAGTTTTTATAATCAAAGATAAAGGCCAAAATGCCAAAAACGATAATTCAGTTTTTAAGAAACGGAGCATCCAATATCATTCAAAAAAAATTGACACATATTGACAAAATAAAGAACTTCTTAAATTTGTAGGAGGCAGGTCTATGGGTTCCGGTGATCCAATTAAAAAAAATTGAAAAAGGAACATTTGGCGGTCAAAAGTGATCATTAGACATATGCACATCGAATTATCATATATTTTAAAGAGATTTTAACAATAAGTATAAATTTAGTTTACATTTCTATGGGTTCTGTTAGACTGCGACTCGACGCTTACGCGCATCTGAAGCAGCGCGTTTGCTTTAATAAAAGTTTAAAATTTCAAAATATCAAAAAAACTCAACATTTTTCAAAAATTGATTTTTTTTAAAAAATTATCAAACATTTTTTTTTTAATTTTAATTTTTGGTACGGTAATAATATATAAAAACAACTTAAGTAAAATTTTAAGGACGGGGCGGCATATTTGTCGGTGTCCCAGGGCGCCAAATTTCTAAATTTGGCCCTGATCACGAGTGTTACCATATCAATAATAAACATTATTCAACATTGTTATATGATGTATTTATTTTTACTTAAATGCATTTATCTTGTACAGTAGAGAATAAGTTTTACTTCAAACTTTTTCAAACTTTCAAATCTTACGCGCACTCTTTTTTCGTTAATTTTTTTTTGAAATTAAACAAAAATAACTTTCTTATTCATGTGCTTTCTTTTTTCCCGACGCCTATTATCATCATGAAACTTTTTAAGTTTTCTTATTTTGAATTACGTATACGAACCATATCTAGGAATAATGCCAGCGATTAATTTATATACCAGTTAAGTAAACAAGTTATATGCCTTATATATATATATATATATATATATATATATATATATATATATATATATATATGCTAATTTATCGTATTTATCTATGTTATATACTGTACAAGTGCTGCCGTCTTCAGAGCGCTGCATAAATTAAAATGGAGGTAACGTCAAATGCATGAGATGGCGATCTATTCATTTTTATTCATCTATGCTCATACGGTTGGCAATAGTGACATTAGATTAAAGCGAGGCAAAGTTACGAAAAGAACTTCGTTCAACTGTCAAACAAATTAATATACCGAAAGAACATTTTGTATTTAGCTTATTTAATTGTTAATTAAATGTCATCATAAGTATATTATATATAAATTTGAGTTTAAAAATAACATTGTATATTATAAAGACGTGTTTGTGATTGATTGATAAGCATAAAGGTAGTGTGAAATACTTTGAGGTTCTTCCACGTGTTTAACTTTTAGTTATATTTATTTTATTTAGAAAGAACTATAAATATTTAACTTAAAATAATGCAATATTATTGCTTACTTTCACCTTTTACATTTCAGCTCTGCAATGAGCCAAAAGCTTTGAACAATAGTTGATTCATATTTACTGTTCGTCAAATATAAAGTATTTTAAAGAAGGAATTATCTTGGCGACATACATCATTCAAAATACACTTGTGTTAAATTAACGTAAGATTATATTCGTAGACAAAACCATAATATGAATATATTATTTTCTCAGAACCATTTGTGTTGACAGTTTAGAATGATTATTAATTTAAACATTCATTCCTGTAAAATGTTACGAGAGCATAAACGCAGTGCACTCTCTAAGGTTATACTCGATGCTCTAACTGTCAACAGCTAATGTTTTAATTTACATTTCTAGTGAAATTAAATATCATATTTAATAATAGTTTATTTAAACTAACCAACTATATTTGTTAATGCTTGTAGAACATACTCGGTGCACAAATATCTCAAAATGTCTGATGATCCGATAATTAAAATTGAACCACAAGAATATCCAATCGAAGACATTAAACGGGAAATTGAAGAAGATTATGAATCGTGTTCAGAGGATGACAAAACATGTCTAAAGAGATTTAAGAACTCAATAGTAAAAATAGAAGAAGTCAAACAGGAATTAATTCAGACTGCTCCTTATAAATGTGACAAGTGTAATAGAACATTTAGAAAGTTGCTTTATTTAGAACAGCATATGGTGAATTATTGTCATAAGTATACATATTGTTCAGAGACTTTACCAGATGCATGTGCATTAGGAATACACATAGAATCTCATACAGGTGAAAAACATTTCACATGCACAAAGTGTGATGAAGCATTTACTGAACAATATCATTTAGATCAACACATTTGTGCTTCTGCAAGAGAACAAATTTCACATTTGAATGAATCTGGTAATCAAAAACGAAATATTCGCGCTCATACTGCAAGGAAGCCAGGTAAACAAGTTTGTGACAAGAAATTCACACAATTGGGTGCTTTGAATCAACATATGCTTATTCACACTGGCAAACGTCCTCATGTTTGCCAAATTTGTGACAAGAAATTCACACAATCGAGTAACTTGAAAAGACATATGCTCGTTCACACTGGTGAAAGGCCACATATTTGCAAAATATGTGATCAGGCATTCAATCATTTGGGTAACTTGAATCAACATCTACTCATCCACGCTGGCAAAAGACCCCACATTTGCCAAATTTGTGATATGACATTCACACAATTGGGTACCTTGAATAGACATATGCTAATTCACAATGGGGCACGTCGTGAAAAATGTAAGTTATGTGGTAAGACATTCACACAATTGTCTCACTTGAATCAACATATGCTCATTCACACTGGCGAACGACCTCACACTTGTCAAATTTGTGATAAGAAATTCAGACATTCGTGTACCTTGAGAAGACATATGCTCATTCACACTGGCAAACGTCCACACGTTTGCCTAATTTGTGATAAGGCATTCATAAATTTGTCAAACTTGAAACAACATCTGCTCATCCACACTGGCAAACGTCCGTACATTTGTCAAATTTGTGATAAGACATTCACACAATCGTCTCACTTGAAAAACCATAAGCTCATCCACACTAAAGAGCGCCATTTCAAATGCAAAATCTGCGATAAGGTATTCAAACAATCACGTACCCTGAAAAAGCACATGGTTGCTCATACCAATGAGTAATTAGTATTTACAAAATTAGTTAAAAGGTTACATATGACTGCTTATAGAAATTAATTAATTAAATTAAAGATATATGAATTAATTAATATATATACATATATTTATATATTGTCAAATAAATAAACATGGTTATCAATGACTTGTGTAATTATTTTGTTAATAATATTTTATATCCATCCCAGGTTTAATAAGGCTTGCAATTGAGCCATAATTGTTAGTAGAATCTTCTCAAAAAGGTTACTTTTCAACGTCCTGCAGGGTTAGTTATAGCAATCGTTCAAAAATCTAAATAAACATTTTTTGCATATCTTGGCCAAAAGAAACGTTTTGAAAGTTTCTGAATATTTTGGAATACATTAGAAAAAATGTATTTTTGTGTGTGTGTGCGTGATTTTTAAGTAAAACTTCTTCAGGCGCGACAAGGGTGTAAATCCGTACAAATGCAACGGAAAAAGCCAATGATTCGTCATTCGTCTCGATGATATCATTTCTATATGAGTCGATTGTAATTGGTCGTCATGTCGCTCGAAAATGATTGCTTTGATTGTATAGTGAAACTAATAAAACAAATGAAATATTTGTGCCTTGTACGAAACGTAAGTTTATTGAAGGAATTTGTATTATTCGTTGTTATACTATGTATACATATAAATTATTTTACTCTGAACAGGAGATCAAGCACAACAATAGTTTGTGTAGCTGTGCATCGTTTATATACAGATATACTTCATAATGGACATATATGCAGTTATTTCATTGATAGTGTTAATGAAATTGTTCAAGATTGTTATAAGTTTACTGTGTGAACCAATATTATAGAATTCATTAATCATACTTCATTTGTATAAAGAAGATTCAAGTCGTATATGCTAATTACAATGACAAACCGATCATGCCGCATTTGAAGTATGACTTTAACTACATTATTGTTTTCAAATATTATAAATATATAGTTTATTGTTACTTAAAAATGTATCATGATTGACATTAACATTTATGCGTCGTGAGTATTACCATATTACTAACAAACATTATTCAAAATTGTTTTATGATGTATTTATTTTACTTAAATGCCATCTCGTACAGGAGCAAAATAGTTTTACTTCAATCGCGGACTTTTTAACTTCCCGTAGGGTAGTTATAGTAATGGGCCGAAAATCGAAAATGAAAATTTTTGCATTTCTCGACGTTTTAAAGGTTTCTGAACATTTTTAAGGGGCATACCTCAGAAACTAAATGGATGTGTGTGTGTGTGTGTGTTTTGTGTGTCCGCATTTTTTCGTCCACGTTTTCGGGCGCACGGATCAACCGATTTGAATGGTTTAATAAACATTCGATCGCTATTGATAGGGAGATGTGCTGATTAGTTTTTGGCAAAGGCAGGTGCAGCCGTTACGGAGCAAAGAGTGCAGAAAATAGAAATCGAGTTTTTGAAAGAACGGATCATCCGATTTGTATGATCCAAAAAACATTCAGTTCGTAATGATGGGGAAAAGTGGTTATTAGTTTTTGGCAAAGGCAGGTCCAGCGGTTTCTGAGATACAGAGCTAAATGTTGAAAAAATGGCAGTTTTTGAAAGAACTAAGCGTCCGATTTAAATGATTCATAGAACTTTCTGCTTGTTTCAACAAAATAATTGCGTTTGGAAAAAAAATTTGTTTTTAATTTTTCCAAAATGCATTAAGAATTCAAAAAATTACCCAGGCTAAGCACAGTCTAAGCGCCACTCTGGTACAAATGTTTACCCAAGTGCGTTTAGACTGTTTATGTACGGGAGCACTTTTCCAATTTTGTGAAACTATTGAAAAATGTGAAAATGCCGCCAAGCTAAGAACAGTATAAGTGAAAATGTCGCACACAATTATGCGACTAGGGAGCACTTCTTCAATTTTTTTTGAAATTGAATTCGAAATGAAATGACGATTGTTAATGTTCTGGAGATTTGCTCAGATATAACAATAAGATAGCAAAAATAATAAAAGTTACTGTATTTTGTAATAATATATTTGAAAACGTTTAAAATTTCTCGAATATTTCATTACGGTACGGAAAGTTCCAGCAATTTGCCTTAAGGCACGATGCCATGAATAAACCCCACTAGTTTATTTCCTTTGTTGGAAGTCGTATCACCTTAATATATAGTGTTAAGAACTATTATGTATTTATTATAATATTTTATGTTTAACACATTTTCATTAAAATATGTTTGTAATTTAATCTCGGTACCATTTATATAAAACTTTTATAACTCGACCCTTATCCGACAATAAGGGTCGAATCAGGTTAAAACTGATTATTATGGAGCGGGAGTTAGTTATGTTGGAACCGCCAACAAGTACAGATTAAAAATGTCAACATCCAATAATGTAAGTTACAAATTAAAATCAAATCTATAAGTAAATCTTAAAAAGTGTTTGTTTTTACATATCAAGAAGAGAACCCATAATTAATATCTCTTCAATAAATATTAGGTTGTCAAATATCTCCCTTCCGCTTTTTGCTCTTGGTTTATGATACAAAAAGGCGGAAGGGAGATATTTGACAACCTTATACTATCCCCCGGTTACTTACCGCTAAGGCCGCCTCCCTAAGGATCTTCGCCTTCTCGTCCTTCTTGATGATGGGAATCCTTATGAACATAGTCAGGGCGCCTGCCGGTTTGCTGAGATCATGTTTCAGCTTCCTCATGTCTTCGGCGGCTTTTTCCAGCGTGTCAACCTTCGTGGCGGCCACGAACAGGGCCGTAGCATATCTACCACTAATTCCGTGCAGATCTAATGGAACTTCGACTCTGTTTGTAGAAGATTCAGACGCACCGTTGGAATAATATTTAAAACACGAAGGTAATAAATATTTTATCAATTTATTATTAATTGATAAGACAGAATTCATTATGACGGATAGATGATAATGGATAGGTATTGTTCTTTTGTTTTTTGTTCTAGTTGTGTCATTTGCATGGTGATGTTCACTGCAGTGAAAATAGATGCAGCAGAATGACTACATGGGAGTATATTTGTCCGAAAATGTTGTAAGTTGTCTAGAAATATTGTAGATTGTCTGAAAGTGTTGTAAATTGTTTGTAAAGACAGTAATTAACTTTAAATTATCGTTATAATATTATCGGTTGGTATAATATTATAATAAGGCTTAAGCCAATATTTTATAGGTTTAATATAATTCAATTAATTATTAGCTATTTTATTACTCATTTATTTATTATGTAATTTATTTACTATAAACTTATTTATATTTAGCTAATTTAAATTATTTTTAAATATAGTTTGTTTGTTGCAAGTATTTTTTTTTTAATTTAAAAAGTATTTTAATAATCTTTACAATACTTTTACAATATAATTATTTTATTTAACAAATTTTAGGTTATTTTATGATATTTTTTTAACAAATTTAAGTGTCTTATATTATTGTTATTATTAAATAACGTTATTATTGAAGTTATAGTAATGAGCCGAAAATCGAAAATATTTTTTTTTTGCATTTCTCGACGTTTTGAAGGTTTCTGAACATTTTTAAAGGGCATGCCTAAGAAAAATGGATGTGTGTGTGCGTTTTTTGTATGTCCGCATTTTTTCGTCCACGTTTTTGGGCGCACGGATCAACCGATTTGAATGGTTCAAGAAACATTCGATTCCTATTGATAGGGAGATGAGCAGATTAGTTTTTGGCAACGGCAGGTCTAGCAGTTTCGGAGATAAAGAGCAAAGAGTGCAGAAAATAGAAATCGAATTTTTGAGAGAACGGAGTATCCGATTTGAATGATCTAAAAACATTCAATTAGTAATAACTGGGAGAAGTGGTTATTAGTTTTTGGCAAAGGTAGGCCCAGCGGTTTCAGAGATACGAAGCTAAATGTGAAAAAAATTGGCAGTTTATGAGAGAACTGAGCGTCCGATTTAAATGATTCAAAGAACTTTCTGCTTGTTTCAACAAAATAATGGCTTTTGGAAAAAAATAGTTTTTGTTTCTAATTTTTTTTCCAAAAATATTTTTGTAATTTTGGATTAAAAATTCAAAAAATGACCCAGGCTAAGCACAGTCTAAGCGCCACTCTGGTACAAATATATTCGAAAGTGCATTTAGACTGGGGCACTTCCAATTTTGTAAAAATTATTGAAAAATGTGAAAATGCCGCTAAGCTAAGCACAGTATAAGTGAAAATGTCGCACAGAATTATTTGCAAGTGCGTTTAGACTGTGACTATACGGGAGCACTTTCTCAATTTTGTGTAAATTAGGTAACTCTTTTTTTTTAAATTGAATTCGAAATGAAATGACTATTGTTAATGTTCTGGAGATTGAACTGAATTGATTCATGATTTACACTTGATTTGCTCATTGTCAGATATAACAAGATAGCAAAAATAATAGAAGTTACAGTATTTGTGATAATATATATTTGAAAACGTTTAAAATTTCTCGAATATTTCGTTAAGATACGAGAAGATCCAGCAATTTGCCTTAAGGCACGATGCCATACACCACTAGTTTTTTTGTAAAGTATTTGTAAATTGTCTGTGAGTGTAGTAGATTATTTAAAAAAGCTGTAGATTGCCTACAAATGTTGCAAATTGTATGAAAATGTTGTTTGAAAGTCGTTGTAAATTGTCCGTATGTGCCTTTATGCATTTCAGACTAGGTCTTTTGTCTGTGTATGTCGGACTCAATACC